GCCCAGAGCTTTTAAGAGAAGTTTAAAACATCAACCATGTTGGTGTCTCCTAAATCATGTCTTTAGTTCAGATCTGTCTTCTGAGTTCCAGGGCCTACTGCTCACTTGGCATCTTCACCCGAAATCTCTAAGCCTACCTCAAACTCAATCATGTCAAAAGCTGAGATTGTTTTCTCTCCCTCGGAAAGAAAGCTTGTTGCTTTTATATGTCTCGTGTGCATGAAAGTTACTGCCATCCTCCTAACATTCACATCAATGTTAGTTGAGCAGCACCCAGACCCCTCCCTCTCTACCACTCCACACATCCCATTGCTCTCCCAAGTTTTATCCATCCTACTTTCTTAACATCTCCTGTAGATATTTCCATTACATTTTCCCCTTTTTTTTTTTTTTTTTTTTTTTTGAGACAGAGCCTCAAGCTGTCCCCCTGGGCAGAGTGCCGTGGCATTACAGCTCACAGCAACCTCCAACTCCTGGGCTCAAGCGAGTCTCCTGCCTCCGCCTCCCAAGTAGCTGGGACCACAGGCGCCCGCCACAACGCCCGGCCATTTTTTGGTTGCAGCCGTCATTGTTGTTTGGCGGGTCCGGGCTGGGGATTCAAACCCGCCACCCTAGGTGTACGTGGCTGGCGCCCTAGCCGGTTGAGCCATAGGCGCCGAGCCTACATTTCCACTTCTTAAGCAGGATTTTCTGTCTCTCAACTATATTGTGGAAATAACCTCTTAGCTTTCCCCTTCACCTTCAATCTCTTTCTCCTCTAATTCATTTCTCAGATTGCTATCATAGACATTTTTATAAAATACAAAACTTAAAACCTTTTATTCATTCCCAATTGCTTTTAGAATAAAGTATGTCCTGTTTGCCCTTCATGATGACCTGGTAGGTATGAAATGAGGGCTTAGTACATACTAAAGCTTATGCTAAACATTAGGGCTCCAAGGGTAAACAAGATGAACAGATTTCCTGCTCCCAAAGACCTTTGAGTTTGATACTGTGCTGAGTTTACAAAAGAGAAACACAAACTCTAAAGGAATTAGCTATGGGGCATGGGGTATCACAAACTATTTTGGAAAACCAAGGAAGCCCTCAACCTCCCATCTTGTTTTTATAATTGTAATCAACAGATATAGTTCCAGATATGGAACCAACAACCTTATTTTCATTATCTCATTTACACCTACACAACTTCTTGGGGTTAACACCATTATTGTTAGCCTCACTTTACAGTTGACGAAACTGAGGTCTAGAAGGGCTAACTAAGTGGTAGAGTTGGGATTACACTCCAGACTCATCTGAGAACCTGCTGTCTTAACCCTTTAAGTGCTTCTGCTTCTCCTTTGTAGCATGCACTAAGATTGTGGACTACACCCGGCTCTGCAAACACACCAGCCTGCTTTACTCCAAGGCTTGCTCATGCTTCTCATTTTGCCTGGAACGTCCCTTTCCCTTAAAAATCTTCTTGCTGAACACATAATTATCTGTTGTAATCTAATTAAAATGTTCTTTCTTCCATGTAGACCCCTCCCCCAGACAGAATTAGCTTCTGCATTCTCTGTGCATATACATATAATATTTAATAAACACTGTCTCTAACGCATTTTAGATCCTTATCTGGTGATCTCCCCCTAAAAAATCATATGTATAATTTTTAATTCTAAACAAACAAACAGGTAAAATAGCCAGGCATTGTGGTGAGTGCTTGTAGTCCCAGCTACTTGGGAGACTGAGGCGAGAGAATCACTTGAGCCCAGGAATTTGAGGTTGCTGTGAGCTGTGACACCACAGCTCTCTACTGAGGGTGACATAGTGACTTTGTCTAGATTAAAAAAAAAAATGACAATCAATTGACCTCTGTAAATAGAAACTTTTGCTGTGCCTGGCATTCCAACATTGGAGGAAAGGGAAATAAAGAGGAGGAGGAAGTGAGAAAGGAAAAGGCAAGCATGAAGACAGACACTTAAATATCGGATATCCTAAGACCGGGCTTGGTGCCCGTAGCTCAGCTGCTAGGGCACCGGTCACATACACTGGGGCTGGCAGGTTTGAACCCAACCCAGGCCTGCTAAACAACAATGCCAACTACAACAACAACAAAAATAGCTGGGCGTTGTGGCCTACATCTGTAGCCCCAGCTACTTGGGCAGCTGAGGCAAGAGAATCATTTAAGCCCAGGAGTTTGAGGTTGCTGTGAGCTGTGACACTACAGCACTCTACCAAGGGCAACATAATGAGACTCTATGTCCAAAAAAAAAAAAAAGCTATCCCAAGACCATCTGTCCCTCTGTAAAATTTTACATTTTAGTCTGGGTGGCTGCCCATAGCTCAGTGGTTAGGGTGCTGGCCACATGCTCCAGGGCTGGTGGGTTAGAACCTGGCCCAGGCCTGCTAAAGAATAGCCAGACATTGTGGCAGGCGCCTGTAGTCCCAGCTGCCAGGGAGGCTGAGGTAAGAGAATCACTTGAGCCCAGGAAATTGAGGTTGCTGTGAGCTATGATGCCACAGCACTCTACCGAGGTGACATAGTGAGACTCTGTCTCAATTTTTTAAAAAAAATTTACATTTTATCCATCACTGTAAAATTAACCCTTACAACCCAGAAAGCTCTCAGTTTAAGGATTGTTCAGCAAGCACTTAATGAAAACCTCCTGACTGCTTCTCATCCTTTTGAGGTCCTTTTCCTCCCGTACTCTCTCTCTTCTTCCTGTCTAGCCCACCTTCTCTGCAGCTAACAATTCTTCTCTCTATTCCAGGACTGCAGACAAAAGATGAGTCAAAGAAGAAAACAAAACCTCAGCCTAGGGCTCTGGGAGGCTGAGGCAGAAGGATCTGTTCAGCTCAGGAGTTCAAGACCAGCCTGAGCAAAACAAATAGAAAAATTAGCCTTGTGGTGGGCTTGAGCTCACGAGTTTGAGGTTGCTGTGAGCCAGACTGACACCAGTGCACAAGCCAAAGTGACAGAGCAAAACTCTGTCTCAAAGAAAAAATAAATAAATAAGATAAATTAAAACCTCAAAGAAGCAAAACTAAGTGGGTGCGTGCATTAGAAGTCACATGCAGAAAATCTCTCAGGTAACTGTGAAGGATAAGCTGCGGAATGTCTACCTATTGCTTCAGAGAGAATTAATTCTTGAAGACAGGTTCCTGTTGTAGGTTTCCAGATAAGTGTCTATAGTACTACAGCAAGTAAATTTACATTTCCAGATACTAGCCTGGATTTTGCAAGGCGTAAACAAATCACTTGAGAAAGAGGTACTGCACCTCACACTGTACCCCAGAAGTGCATTAATGTACATAGTTACCATTCAATAAAAAAAAAAAAAGAGGTACTGCAATGGCTGCCTGGTTCATTTCTACCCAGACATCTAATCCAAAAGCCTGTGGGAAGAGGGCTGCTAAACAAACATGGGGGGAGGCGGGGGGGTTGAGGGGTAAGTGGATGACAACAGGGCAGGATCGGTTAAATCTACTCAAGAGCAAAACAAAACCTGAGTAGTGATTTTTATATGATTCCTGAGTGGGAAGGGCATTAGTCCGAAGCTGTGATCAGTGGGCACCTGTGCCAGCCCCTGATGCCATTCTACCCCTGCCAAGTGTCACCTGCTCACATCTGTTTGCTGCTCACCTCTTGGGCTTTTCCAAGCCAGGTAAGACCTGTTGCAGGTGTCCAGGAGCCTGCTGGGGCAGTGGCACAACCAAGCAGAGTCATTCGTTTTTCTGTCTGAGACTTGGACTGATGTGAGAGTAAACAAAGTGTGAGCTGGGGGAGGACCCAGAGATAGGAGAAGAGGTTAACAATATTACCACTTCCTGGCCCCCTTATCACCACCTTTTCTGGTAAGGAGCCCTAGAGCCCTTGGCTACTAGACTCTCACACCAGTGGACCCGGTGGGCCAAAGCTAATCTGCACTAGTGTGGCTCAGCTCAGCCCTCGTAACACCATGGTGAAGGTAAAAGAGTTCCTGTCCTCTCTTCCTCCAACCCCTGACCTTCTCTGTGATCCTTTCAGGCTTTCACTGGTGTCTCCTCCTAGGGCCCATTTCTATCCTACCGCCTGAGTTTCTTGGCCACATACATGGAGGCTGGTGGGTTTGAAACCCGGCTGTGGCCAGCTAAACAACAATGACAACTGCAACAAAAGAAAGCCAGGCATTGTAGTGGGCACCTATAGTCCCACCTAGTTAGGAGTCTGAGGCAAGAGAATCACCTAAGCCCAAGAATTTGAGGTTGCTGTGAGCTGTGACACCACAGAACTCTACTGAGGGCTACATAGTGAGACTCTATCTTGAAAAAAAAATCACTTAAGAGGTTAGCGGGCTGGGTGCCATGGCTCACACCTATAATCCTAGCACTTTGGGAGGCCAAGGCCTTGGGCAACATAGCAAAGACCCTGTCCTTCCCCCTTACTCCATAAAAAAGTTAATAGGGCCTGTGGAATACATGCCCCAGGGACATGTGTGTTTTGAATTTTGAAAGAAATTGTGGAATGAGATAACATTGAGGCAGAGATACTTCTAGTGGTCTGTGGATTTTAAATTACTACTTTCTGTATATAGGCAGGCCCTGGGCTGGATGGGGATGGGTCTAGGCCAGGCAAGGGTGTGAGAAATTCTGAAAAGACCCCTCAGGGAAGGGCCTCCCTGTTGAGTCTCAGCCCCTGGGGTTATGCTGTGCCATTCTTGGTGCTAGGAGGACCCAAACCCAGGAGATAGGTGCAAGCTCCTTGGCACTGCTGAGGACACTCTTATAGACTCTGCTGTGTCACCAGGTGTTCAGCTGCAGACCTGTGAGGAGTGAAGGTACCACACCCGCCGTGGCTTCTCCTCCAGGTTCTTTTCTTACTCTTCCTGCCCTATCATGGGGCTCATGCATCAGTGTTCAGTTTCAAGAATCAGATGACGTTCCCAGAAAGGAAGCTGGTGTGTGACGGACTTGGGGAAAGACTGTTTACTTCCTGTTTCTGGTCAGCTGGGTCCCTTTAGGTGCCCAGATGTCTTCAGTGACTTATACACTCTAGGGCAGCATCATGTGGCAGCTGCTACCGCAGACGGCTCTGCTACTTCTTGGTAAGTCTGGGGCTCTCTGGCTGAGGGGGAAGCAATGATGCCCTGAGTGGCTCAGAGACCCCCTAGGGGGCTAGGAATGAGACCCCTCAAGATGGAACTCTTCACCACGTCTACAGCCATGGGTTTAGCTCCTAGGAAAGCCATCTGTGGCCTATAAATGAGAAGAATGTTGGATCTGATTTGGGCATAGCCAGAAAAGGAAGGGGAGCAAGGTCAGTTACTTCACCTGGCTGGGTCTCCGTTCTGCATGTAAATTGAAGAGCTTACACTAGATCAGGGGTCCACAAACTTTTTAAACAGAGGGCCAGTTCACTGTCCCTCAGACCATTGGAGGGCCAGACTGCGGGCCCCAGGACAAGTCAGGCCCCAGGACAGGCAGTGGCGGCAAAAACACCTGGTAGGCCAGATAAATGAATGTCCTAGGCGGGGTGAATGTGGCCCGCGGGCCGTAGTTTGAGGATGCCTGCACCAGATGGTCCCTAAGGTCAGTTTCTTCCAGTCTGACATAACAGGTTCTCCCTATGACTTTTCTGGGGGGAGGCACAGTCTTATTTTGTCACTCTGGGTAAAGTGCCTTGGCATTATCATAGCTCACAGCAACCTCAAATTTCTAGGCTCAAGTGATCTTCCTGCCTCTACTACAATTTTTCTGTTTTTAGTACAGATGGGGGCTTTGCTCTTGCTCAGGCTGTTCTCAAACTCCTGAGCTCAAGCAGTCTGGCCTCTTTGTCCTCCCAGAGTGCTAGGATTATAGACATAAGCCACTGCACCTGGTGCCCTATGCCTTTTAATTTCTACCCTGTCTGGGGAGCTTGGGTTGAGATTCTTTCTGTAGCTTTATTCAGGGAAATTCAATCAATATTCTTAATTTATGAGTTTGGACAGGAAACAAGGAATAGAGAAAGGTGTTGAAAATAGGGATTTGGGTGGACAGTGGGTAGGATGCATGAACATTAGAGACCAGAGAGCAGACAGAAGGAGAGGTATCCGCTAGAAATCCAGATTCTTGGAAACACCAGGGTCCTGAGGCAGGGGCAGGCAGGGGAATTTTAAACTTGCTTGACATTCCAGACATCCTGATCCCTGCTCTCACTCAGTGTTTGATTCATTCTTTTATCTTGCAGTTTCATCTGGCTTGCACGCTGGTGAGTTTACTTTGTAGTCTTGGGTCGATCAAATGAGGCACATATGGGCGGGATGTCCACAGGATGTTGGGAAATGTCCATTGCATGGGAAACTACCGATGGGTGTTTGCAGGGACAGCTCCCCCAACATGGCAGGGCTGGGGTCCCTATGCTTCTCTGGCCAGTTTTCCATAAGATACAGAGTAGATCCAAAATGGGGCCGAGAGGCTCTAATATTGAGTCACAGACTCAGATTGAGACATGAACTGTGGGTTTTCCATGGGCTTCCTCTGGCTTTGAGCCTCCCTGAGAATGCCAGGACAGGGCCTGCTCCTCTACCTGTCCTCACCTCACATTCTCTTACTCCTCAGCAGATCTTCCAAAGGCTGTGGTGTCCCTAGTTCCTTCATGGGATAGGGTACTCCAGGAAGACAACGTGACTCTGCAGTGCAATGGGGACCATCCACCTGGAAACAAGAGCACAGAGTGGTTTCACAATGGGAACCTCCTCTCCAACAAGGACTCGAGCTACTTTATTGCAGATGCCAGAGTTGAGCACAGCGGAGAGTACAAGTGCCAGACAAACCTCTCTACACTCAGTGACCCAGTGCAGCTAGAAGTCCATGTGGGTAAGTCCATGAAGGGGAAGCAGGAACTCGCCAATAAAGGGTGAAACGAGGGGTCCTCATATGCCTAGGAAGAGCCCAAAGATGATGTTCTTAGGCATTAAAATTAAAATGAGATAATCTGTGGTCCCATTGCCTGATATAAGAGTTGTAGTCCCAGCTACAAGTAGGCCTTAGGAAAATTTCAGAGTCTGCCATAGGATAGATGTAAGACTGCTGCATCACACAATTCTAGGAATCATGACACGTAGAATACATATAATGCGAATGTGTCATCAGAAAGTCAGGGTGTGACATTGATATTCAATAGTAGGTACTGAATAAATTAATGAATTTGCTTTGAGGACTTCAATCTCCTTCTCACTTTCTAAGACATAATGCTCTAAGCTACCTCCTAAATCATCCCTAATGGCCCAGTGTCAGATCTAGCTCTCTATCTTTCTCAATGCCATGCTCAAACTTACGCTTCAGCACAGATTTAGCAAGGTGACACATTTCCCAGTGCAGAGATACACATGCTCAGTTTGCACCTTACTCATGGAATTAAAGTATGTGTGTACTATTGCCAGAATCTAGGCATCAGAAGCAGGTAGGAGAAATATTTTGGAGGAGGGAATCTTTCCTGGTGTCCCTCAAGACACATCCCATAGCCTGGTAGCTGCAGGGTAACCTTGTAAGCCTGACTCTACTTCCATGGGTGCCCCACTTGCACAATGTGGGTGGGACAAGCCTGGAGGGGAAGGATGACATAAGAGAAGTGGATTGGCAGCAGAGTTCAATAGCATTGGGCTTCAGAAACTTATTTTCATGGCTTCTTTGTTTCTGACTGTACCACCCACCTGACATGATCTCATTCTACAGAGCTACAAGAAATGTCAAGTATCTAGCTAGGTGAGAGATGGCCCCGAAGATCCAATAAAATGGGGATTTACCAAGAGGAAACAATTGAAAAATCAAAATCAAATCTGGGAGATATTAATTTGCCTTGAACTTGGCTCTAGAAACTGGCTTTAGAAGTCTAGTCAATGTGGTCTATGTTAAACTGTGACCAAGAGAATTAACTTTGCCAGGCAAACTCCCAATAATCCTTCAGCACCCCTTTCACTTACCTCCTCCTCTGAAAATCTTGCTTTACTTTGGTCAGGCAGAATTTCTTTATCTCAATCTCATTGGCCAAGTCCTTTGTTCTCAGCCTATTGTAGTGCTTATTGTTTTGTATTATAATTTATTTCTGTGTATGTATATTTATAGTTTGTAGATTCTCTGAGGCAAGGGGCCCTGTGTCCTGTCATTCGAGTATATGCAGTCTGCACAATGGTACACAGTGGGTGTTCGATAAAGTATTAGTTGAATGAATATATATATGGACATTTACTGAGTACATGACAGGACAGATTGGAATAAGAATATTCCCCAAAGGCCACTGGGATATATATATATCATAAACTTATGCCAATAACGAGTCATCTCTTTGCTGAAAAAGTAAGTGGATATAAGTACATAGCCTCTTTTGATAAATGAGGCATCTTAATAAGCCATAAAAATTACCTTTAGAAAATCTTCCTGGTAGAGAATCTTCACTAAAACATGTTCTATCAATTTTTTCTAGCATGAGGTAGTAGAGTTTTAAAATTATAGTAAATTGGCTGGGTGTGGCAGCTCATGCCTGTAATCTTAGCACTCTGGGAGACCAAAGCAGGAGGATTGCTTGAGCTCAGGAGTTCAAGATCATTCTGAGCAAAAGTAAAACTCTGTTTCTACTAAAAATAGAAAAATTAGCTAGGCGTTGTGGTGGGTGCCTGTAGTTGCTACTTGGGAAGCTGATGCAGAAGGACCACTCTGAGGCTTCTGTGAGCTAGGCTGATGCCATGCACTTCATCTTAAAAAAATAAAATAAATAAAATTATAGTAAATGTTGTTTTGTTATGATAAAAGTCATTTGAGTTCATTTTCAAATATATATAGAAGATAAAAGGAGAAATTTAAAAGACCTTGGGCCCTATTCCCTTAGAGAAAACCCTTGTTAATACCTAAGTGCATATCCTTCCTTTTGTTCCTGTCATAGATACTTTTGGTATTCTGCCTTTTTATTTTATTTTATTTTTTTGGCTGGGGCTGGGTTTGAACCCACCACCTCCAGCATATGGGGCTAGCACCCTACCCTTTTGAGCCACAGGTGCTGCCTCTATTCTGCCTTTTTAACTTATCGTTGTCTCATGAATCTCATTATAATATTTACCTGCAATGTAATTTTTAATTATTTGGGTCCCCTCCTGACCATGACTTCATGTTCTCTCTATGTGGAGTCTGGCAACTTGGTGAGACAGTTGGGAAAACAAGTATCCCAGTGATTGAATTTTGTCTCATGAAGGTCACACTCAGTAGTGAAGATTGTTTCCCCCAAGGCCCTTTAGTGCTTCAGAAACCACTGATTATCAGGAGCACTACCAGTCTCGCCTTTCCCCTCTCTGAATCTTTAAGTGCCCCTTAACTATTTCTGCAGTCACATCTCCAGCCACCCAACTCACCTTACTCCTGACTGCTTCAGAAGTCTTTCCATATTTCTACAACCACCTATTCCTTCTGAAATCTATCTTTTCTCTAATGGGGCAAATCATCATTTTCAAATGCAGTTTTTGCTCTTTGATTCAGAGCTTGCTGTGACAACTTATGAACTGCCACGGCAAACCTGAGTCTAACGCCGAAGGGTTCTCCCCTGCCTCATTACTTAGTCCCTCTGCTCTAACCTTACATTTTGATCATGTGTGTGTGTATCCCTCTTCCCCATCAGATAAAATGTCTTGGTGTGATCTGAGTTCTCTTGCAGAGCTTATTCACCTTTTTCCCAAAGTGAGCTATGTACAGATGGCTCCCAGTCAGCTTGCCCTATGTGCTGAGGTCTGGGTGGTGAGTGTCAGTGAGCACTGAGGCCACTGGGTCTGGGGTCTGTCTGTGTCTTTCAGGCTGGTTGTTGCTCCAGTCCCGTAAGTGGGAGTACAAGGCAGGGGAGGACGTTCACCTGAGGTGTCACACCTGGAAGAACACTTTTATGCACAAGGTCACGTATTTACAGAATGGCAGAGGCAAAAGGTATTTCCATGAGAATTCTGACCTCCACATTCAAAAAGCCACAGCTGATGACAGCGGCTTATACTTCTGCAGAGGGCTTATCGGAAAGAAAAACGTGTCTTCTGAGACTGTGAACATCACCATTCGAGGTGAGATATGTGCAACCCTAGAGCTGTGTGTGGAGCTGCCGCTCACACTGGGAAATGATTTGGGAGGTGATTTCTGATTCTTCCACAGACTTCTTTATATAGGGTTCCCTCCTGGTAACTAGCAGAGACCCTGAAACTCCCCGATTGCTAGGGAGTTGTAGTTCTGTTTCACAATATTCCTCAGAGGCAACTGAGAGATGTCATTCACTCTGCAATGTGACAACAGGGGCAAAAGCTACATTTCCTCCCCCATAAACACACCTGTCCTTACCATAGCCATACCCATGATGTCACGTGTCCCTATCATGCTGGCCCATCTTCATCCGCCCTCCTTTCTCATCGAAGTCTTAGCCAAGAGCTAAGCTGCCAAGAGCCCTTCCTCCCCTCACAGGACGGGCTCAGAAGCTGGGTTCTGGTTCTGCAGCTAATAGCTGTGTGGCTGTGAGTAAGGCACTTCGTGTCTCTGAACCCCAATTTCTTTCTGTGTAACAAAGAGGAACTGGCATTTAGTGGGCACTTTTCAGTGTGCTAGAGACAGTAAATAATTATTTACATGCACCTAGTTTGATCATCATAGTGTATTTTCCCAGCATATGAGATAGGCAATGTTGACTCCATTACAGATGGAGTAACTAAGGTGTAATAATAAATGAATACCTATATACATACATACATATACTTCTCCTTAAGGTCACACCAAAGACCTTAAAGCCTATAAATTTAATTATTAGGTAAAATGAAAGAATTGAACAAGTACTAATACCTAGAATTCAGTGGAATTTTGGATCCCAGTAAGTCTAAAATACATCTCTGAGGGCTGGGTGCGATAGCTCATGCCTGTAATCCTAGCATTCTGGGAGGCCAAGGCAGGTGGATGGCTTGAGCTTAGGAACTGAGAGACCAGCATGAACAAGAGAGAGACCCCATCTCTAAAAATAGCCAGGTATTGTGGTGGACGCCTGTAGTCCCAGCTACTTGGGAGGCTAAGGCAAGAGGATCACTTGAGCCCAAGAATTTGAGGTTGCTGTGAGCTAGGCTTATGCCTCAGCACTCTACCAAGGGCAAGAAAGTGAGGCTCTATCTCAAACAAACAAACAAAACCCCACATCTCTAGTTCCTAAAGTGCCAATCTGAGGATCAGAGATCTCACATGATTTTCCTGGACTTCCCGATTTCACGGAACTTCTATCTGTAGTTGGACCAAGACCTAAATTGTAAACAGTTTTCATGTGTAAAGGTAGCAAAACACCTTTTGAGGTTTTAAGAAAACTGCAATAATTTGAATAAAAATAACTTAATTCCACTTTAAATTGAAAGTAAATCCTCTCAAATGGTCAGGGAAAGAGAGCAAATGATGAAGCAAATGGAGCAAAATGTAAACAATTAGTGAATCTGAATAAAAGATACATGAGAGTTCTTTATACTATTCTGATAAATCTTTTTTTAGAGATTTAGAAAAATTGAAACTAAAAATCCACAAATTTGTCCCAGTTTATAGACAACGACATTGTCTGACAATTTCATTATTGTCCCACAAAACCCACCTACAACCTAACTTGCTAACATTCCCTGTTACATCTCTGTCAAATAAACAGAAGTTATTGCTAAGTGTTTGATGAGCTGTGTCTGCTCAGATAGCACTAAGATCAGGAGCCAACAGGAAGAAGTGATGGTTTTCCCCCAGACTCTCCACCATTCCTATGATTTGTCTCTTGGCAGGTGTCAGGAAGACTCTCCACTGGTGATCTTATTGTCTGTTCCAAATTTCTGCCTTAGTGACTAATTTCTCTCATCCCTCTACTTCTTCTAGGCTCAATAAGTCCACCCATTTCAGCACTCTTTCCTTGGCATAGAGTCACTTTCCTCCTGGTGTTGATGCTCCTGTTTGCAGTGGACACGGGACTGTATTTCTCTGTGCAAAGAAACCTTCAAAATGCATCAAGTAATTGGAAGGACCACAAATTTAAATGGAGCAAGGACCCTTAGAGCAAATGACCCCTTCTCTCATGGGGGTAATAAGAGCAGTGGCAGCAGCATCTCTGAACCTTTCTCTGAATTTGCAACCCCATCATCCTCATTAGGCATCTCCACGAGCAGCAGGAAAAATACAACTCAAAGCCTGGGTTGAGAACTCCCCCTCCCCCCATTCTCTATTTTCTCTTTATTGCCAATGGAAAGGAAAGGCCTATGATCTTCAAGTGCCAACAGTGAAACCCCAGTGATTAGCTACATCCTTAGGAATTGAAGTGGGAAGGCTATACACTGTCCTAACCATTCCCTCATATAAGAATTGTTCCTAAATAAATAGATCAGTAGGATGGTTGAGGTAGAGCCAGCTGGACAGCAGTCTGCATCTATTGCTGCAGGGCTGGTTGCCTTCAGGGAATCCCAAACCCCTTCCAGACAGAATGTGGGAACTGCTAGGATTGAAGGGATTCTGCAGAACCATTGAAGGGGATGGCTGAGAAAGAACAGAGTGGTCCAGGATAGGCCAGAGGCAGTACTGCCATCTGGCCCCAGAGAGAAGGCTGTCTTCCTAGAACATGGGCCATGGCGGGGGGGTGGGGGGGGTGGGGGGGGTGGGGTGACAGAATACCACAAGGGTAATGCAGAATTCAGTTTTCCAGGGAGTCTATCAGAATTGGGATGGTCTGCAAGTATATAATGGCAAACTCTCTTAGCACTGTAAGTAGAAAATGGTCCTAGGAAGGGGCCTGGAGACTGGGGACAGGGGATTGGAAAAGAAAGCATAAAACAAACTGTGTGTCACTGTCCCAGGTTAAGCTATGTGAACAGATAGCTCAGCATCGGGACTAAGAAACTGGTAAGAAAGAGTTGACCACAAACACACAGGAAGGAAAGGTCAGGGGGTGAAAACACTTTTGGCCAGGGAAGTCAGAATTAGAGAGGAGGGGCAGAAACTATAAAACCAGGTTTTCTGTTTCAGTATTTGATTCAAGCAGAGCTTTATTTACTTCATTTATCAAACAAATGTTGGATAATCTACACTAAATGTATTGAACTACACTGGGTTAAATTGTGAAACGTTGAAATCCCCTCCACATGTCAATACCAATGGAGTGGGAATGGAGAAGGCCAACTGCTGCTTGCAGAGGAAAGCTTTAGCCATCTCCTTCTGTCATAGAATTTTTAAATAGA